GGTGGGCTTGAGAACGGCGCAGCCGGCGGATTCGACGAAAGAGCGTTTGTCGGGCTTGCAGCAACCACATGTGATGACCCCGGGCTGGACTCCGCTTCGTCCACGGTGAAAGCCGATCTGGCGATCCACAGCGTGAAGTTGATGTATTTCCTCAGCGACCAGCACAAATCAGCTCTAGGCATGACGAAGCGGATATTGTCCTCTTTTGGAAGGCTAAACAAAGTAGTTTCGCTTTCTCAACGAAACACAGCGCCTTTCACGACATGGCATCAGCGGCAACAACAATACTACAGCGAGAATAAAAGTTACACCTTCTTTCTTTGCGTGCACATTTGGGCGGCATTATGCAAATCTTCCCACATAGTGAGGTTGATATGTGGGGGCGTGTTAGAACGAGCCGTTTTAGGTAGGCGTGGCTGACTCTTAACTTTTATAAAGAAGATCTCTTTGGATTTGAGACTTTAGTCTTTGCAACTTCACAGATCTTCTTTATGCACCAAGAGCTTATAACACTCCAAAGAGAAAGGAAAAATTTAAATCGCATCATATGACCCCTTTAATTCAATAGCGTGTAATACTAGGCAATACCAATATGGCGGTGCGGTGGCTTCACTTTTATGACGTCATGAGCAATCCAGTTCTCTATTATAGATCAGTGTGTCTATCATAAATATTGCTATATTTACACTTTTTAAATTTCAGTCAACTTTATTTTATTATAATTTTGCTTAATGTAAATACTTAATATTTTTAGTCAGCAAAAATAAATCAATCAAATAAATGCTGCTTTTTGAACTTTCTATTCTGAAAATCCTGAAAAAATAACCACTTTTTTCCACAAAAAATATAAAGCATCACAACTGTTTTCAACATTGATAAGAAATGTTTCTTGAGCTGCAAATCAGCACATTAGAATGATTTCTGAAGGATCATGTGACACAGAAGACAGAAGTAATGGCTGCTAAAAATCCATCTTTGCCATCAAGAAATACATTTTGTTTGAAAATATATTCAAATAGAAAATTATTTTAAATTGTAAGTGTAAATGCAGCTTTGGAGAGTGTAAGAGACTTCTTTCAAAAACATAAAAAACAAGTCATACCAACCCCAAACCTTTGAACGGTATATGAATAATACGTTCTCAGCACTAAGCCGAGTGTTTTCAATGAATGAAATAAAAATAGGCCACCTCTACTCTGTTTATTTGTCATTTTAGCCCTCACAATGATTAAATGCTCTGAGAATTCCTGCCTGCAGAAGAGCAGAATATTTTCACAAAGGCATCAGATATCAACACATCATGATATACTGTGTTTTGGTCCTTGAAAGAAGACAAAGGAGGTGGAGAACAACACTTGTGACCTACCAGAAGCACACAGACGATCTGTATTCTCTCCAGCTGTTCCCCTGTTCTGTCTGTCTATGCTGTGGCCTTTATGTGAATATATTTGTATTTTTAAGGTCGGGCAATGAAAGATGAGTTTACTTAAACTCGGGTCTGGCCTTTGGAGAGCAGTAATTTCATGCCACCTGTTAGATTGTCAACACACAACAGCGTGTGTTGGTGAGTGGCAGGCTGACCCGTGCCTGACCCGCGGGGCTTTTCATGGCTGAATGGTGACTGGGGCCCTTCCCCTGGTGGCCCCCTCTTTTAAACAGGCAGGGGACATATAATCAAAGCCATGGCCCGTCCTCACCTTTCACTCGCATCCCTGCAAAATAATGAAAGTTGCCCTCGTCCTGCACCCCTGATAAAATAAGAACGCCGCTCCTAACATTTCCTCTCCTTGGGGCTGATAAAATTTATGGCATTTAGACAATCAGTCATGGCAGTGAAATCTCAACCGCATTCTTTGGTTGTCTCTCACCCCGCCGTGCCTTTCTATTCTCTCTCCCTTTTGTGTCATCTATCTGGGAAAATATTCTAGATTGCTTGTGACAAATGAGTTCTTTTGATTTAACTCAATTAGGATCATTTTATACAGAAATCAAACACCAACATTTATCCTGTCTGTCTTGGATAATGAATAGTTGGAGATGTTATAAATGTTCACAGGTGTGTAAACTGAGTATGCTGAATTCATGTTTGTCCAAACTCTTTTTCTTTCAGGACGCCGCCAGTGATCTGAGATCCAAATCCACCACTACGTCATACACCCCACTGCCACGAGGATCCAAAGATGCCCGAAACCACAAAGGTAGTGTTATTTAGACAAAAAAGTGCGATGACGCACTATTCTTGAATGACAGGTATCGAAACAAACATACACTCGATTGCTAATAGAAGCTGTGCAGAAAAGATTTTGATGTGCTGGACTCTATAAGAGGCTTTCATGCCGGCCACATTTATCATGCTCTTTTGTCTGTGCAATGCAAATCACTGTTTTTATGTCACGGCCATGGCGGTGGTACTTTCATGCGAGGTCAGCTGTGTGCCTCTCAACCCCCCACCAAGGACAGATCTATTTCACAAAGGCTGACCTGCACCTCTCAAGTGATGTAGAGGAAAGCCCAGTGCTTTGTCAAAATCATGCTGCTTGAGAATAGTCCATTAAAAGGTGAACGGAGCTGACATATGAAATATTTTTTCTCCTTCTTAGATTTGGGCGAGCTGACACTTTCCATTTGTTATTTTTACGATACTGTACTGCAGCATTAGATAACACAAGCCCTCATCTTTGTCCTTCGCCTCTTTTTATTCCTCTGCCTTTATCACGCCATTTTTATTTATCTTGACTTATTGCCTATTCTATTTGCTTAATGCATCGGCTCTGACACTGTAACTCTTTACTAAAACTCACCTTTGGCTGTGCCATGAAAATGCTTTAATAGAATAGCCATGACACTAAAAGATGCAGTTCACCTCCAAGACACTGTCAGTGGAAGTCGGGCATTGTGTTTGGATTGCCTATAATTCATTGGGCGTCTGTGTAATCGTATTGCAGTGCAATAATTAACTGCTTATATAGTGTAGTATTTTGCTCTTAAAGGAGTAGTTTTCCCACAGATTACAGTTCTGTCATCATTTACTCACAGTGGGGTTCAAAACAACACTGACTTTCACTGTACGAAAATAAATAAATAAATACATGCATACATACATAATCTACTGGTTTAGAATGACATGAGCATGAGTAAATGATGAATTTTCAATTTTCGGGTGAATAGTTTTATGCAGTAGAATGGCTGAAATTAGGGCATGCTTCCATAGGTAAAAGCCTAGGCCTGTCATGTTTGCTATATGTTACTTGCTGCCTTGCAGTGGCCAGCAGGATTAGCGGCGTATATGACAGCAGGCTGTCTCAAACAGGGGCCTGCTCTACCTTTTCTCAATATTTTTACAATTGATGTCACCTGCGCCAGGCCCCCAGAGCCAAGGTGCCATGGGTAATTACAGCAGACAGAAGGTCTGTGGAGGGAAGAGGGAGGACCAGCTATATGCATTGCACAGGAGCTTCTTGGCTTTGGGTTGTAAGACCCTTGTCTGCTGTTTTGGGGGGAAATTGGGAAGTGGACAAACAGCGAGCAGACAGGAGAGGCTCAGAGGAGAGAAATGTAAGCTAAGAAAGGAGGCAGGCGTGGCGTGACATGGAGAACCATGAGAGTCTGGAGATGGAGGGGGGAGAGCGTTGCCACAGGGAAGTAACGCTGCTGTCAGCTCCCACAAGCTTTAAACCGGCCTGTTGCCTGAACCTAGCCCAAAGTTTCTTTCAAGAGACAAATGTCATCTTAAAGGAACAGTTCACCCAAAAATTATCGTTCTACACCTTGTCGTTCTAAACCTCCATACTGTTTGTTTTACCAAAGAAAAAAATCTTCCCGCAACAATTGTATTTACAAACGATGGTCCTGTCAAGCTCCAAAAGAGTATAATTTGAAAATTTGATAAAATGTAAATGTAACAACGTTTATAGGTCGGGAAGAAGGAGGCGGGAACCGGCGAACATTTAAACAAACTTTAATAATAAAATAAACTCAAAACACAAACAAAACCAAAACACAAAATAAAATCCAGGCCTGGTCCTCTCTCGTCTAACACGGTCGTCACTCCTCCTCTTTATCCTTCCGGAGCTCCTCCGTGAGACTCGAGACCGGTGAGTGGTGCAGGTGTCACGCATTAGCAATTACTCCACCGGCCTCGCTCCGTTCCCACGGCTCTCGGCCCCGCCCCTCTCGTCACATACCCCCATCGCCCCTCGCAGGCCGGGGGGTACTCACGAGACTGCGCTCTACTCCCCCCTCCCAGGGGAGCCGATCACGGCGGCCGCGGCGTACCTGGGGGTAAGGACAGACAGACGAGGTGAGAGAAAAAGAGACGGGAGGATGAGGAGAGACAGATGAGAGAGGAAAAAATAAAAAAAATTCTGGGTAAGGTTCCCAGACACACTGCCGCTTGGTCCTCAACCGGCTGAGAGGCTCTCACTCGCGGTGCCATGCGATGGTACTGGACATCATTGGTGGACGGCCCACCGCTCTTCCGCCTCCTGGCGGACGGCGATGGCTCCTCCTATTGAGGGCAGCCGGCAGCGAGTCCCCCGTTCCCTGCTCCTCCCCAATCATGGCGGATGGCCGCAGGCTCCGGCCTCCTGAAGAACGGGCAGACTCCTCCGCTCCCTCACGGATGGCAGCCACCCCTCCTCGACCCAGGAGCGCGGCAGCGAGCTCTCCGTCCCCCCTCACCTTCCGTCGTTCCAGCACCACCGCCTCGGGCAGCCACCGGCGGTCTCTCCACTTCTTCCTGCCGCCCGATCTCCTCAGCACCGCGATCCCCCTCAGCAGTGAGGGCTCTCTGACAGCGTGTCTCTCCTTCCTCCCGGGTTTCGGCACCAATGTAACAACATTTTTTAGGTCGGGAAGAAGGAGGCGGGAACCGGCGAACATTTAAACAAACTTTAATAATAAAATAAACTCAAAACAGCGCGACAGCCCCTCGCGGACGACTGTCGCACACAAACAAAACCAAAACACAAAATAAAATCCAGGCCTGGTCCTCTCTCGTCTAACACGGTCGTCACTTCTCCTCTTTATACTTCCGGAGCTCCTCCGTGAGACTCGAGACCGGTGAGTGGTGCAGGTGTCGCGCATTAGCAATTACTCCACCGGCCTCGCTCCGTTCCCACGGCTCTCGGCCCCGCCCATCTCGTCACAGTAAAGTAAAAGACTTTCAGTGAATATAATAGGTGCAATAGCTGCATGATTAATCGATATAAAAGCAATATGCCATATGGATTAGTGGAACTGTCCATTCGCAAAGGCTTTGATGCGCTGCGTGTTTCAGAGTGAAGTGCGGCACTGTGTTCACATGAGCAGCTCATGATCTGCTGCGGTGAATCTGGGACCAGCTCAGTTTGCAGTAAATTTTGCTACGCACAAACTCATCTCTGAATCTGCTTCAGTTTTGGTTGATTTAACGTGCATTTGGGCATGCAATATGCACCAGCAACATCTTTTATCTATTATAATTTTAGATCACAATCACTATTTTTATCATTTTCTTTACATTAATCATGCAACCCTATTATACGCTATAATTTTTTACTTTTTTTTTTTTTTGGGTGAACTGTTGCTTTAAATATAAAGCTCCACCTCTAAACCAAACTACATGAGACAATGTTTGTCTTTCCACAGGCACGAATACATACAAAAATAAAGTGGAGCCACCACTCTCACTGCTGTCACATTCTAGATAGCCATATCAATAACAATCATCATGACAGGTCACACAACTGCCCTGGAACTTCATACATAATTGAAATGGAAAATATACAAATCCTCATATACATCTCTGGACATATAAAGCAGCAACCACCACTTTTGAGTTCCCATCATTCATCTTCACCATGGCAAGCGAACCAGAGGCCGTCGAGGGTGAAACCGTACTCCTCCATCAGCCGTGTGCGCGCCGCCTTTAAACGCTCCTATTCTGGGCTTCTGGGCCCTGCTCCAGCTGAGTTGACTGTATTTTAAATGGCACACAACTAAACCCTTGAGGCGGGCAGCCTTCAAAGAGGAAATCTTAACTGAAGACCCCCCAGGGACCATGCTTTTTTTCAATACAGTTTGCCATCATTATGCTGCCGCTGATTTGTAGCCCCAAAACGGGACTGCATATGAAGAATAAACGACTTTACACTTGTGGTACAACAAATAAACAAACATCTGGAACCATTCAGAGGGCGCCATTATAACAGTACATTTCTTGCCCAAAATGTGAAAATGATGACAAATGTGCTGTCACAGAGACTGGGAGAGGCCAGATGATGGAGCAGTGGGTGCTAAGCACCGACTTTTAGAGATCAGCAGGACTGAAAGAGAATTACACCTGCTGTTTGTCTGCCTACCCTCCATTAACTTACATCTGGATAGCGTGCATCACTCAATTACCAAATTCTGGATCTGTACCCGCATTGTTTAGCTAAAATGCCATGTTTAACATACAGCCCTAGACAGAGATGTTTATGCCAGCTATCTTGTGTAATTGAGATAAATTTGATTGGTGTTGTTGATGTGCTATTGCTTGTCTCATTTTACAGCCCAGTGGATATGCAATAGCCCCAAGCTTTGCCTTTGGCAGAGTTGCCTCTTAATTATGGCCTGTCGAGCAGTTGTTCCTCTCTGCTGTTTCATAAGCATGAGTTTGCATGTGTGCATACTGCATATAACTGAATCCTGCAGGCCAAACTGCATGGTAAGCTTGTTGAGCTGTCATTCTCTCTTCCAGGCAGTGTGTGTATCAATCTTTGTATGCACCTTTAGAATTTGATATTGGAAAAGTGCTTGTACGTGCTCAATGAGATTCTAAAGGTTCTCACATGATGATTGTAACAGTAATGTTTTTCCCTTGACGAGTGTTATTCTCAAACCAGCTCCAAACTTTGGCCCTGTCAGGCATTATGCTGACATTATGATGGAGATTTTGGAATCCTGATTTATTTGCTGTCTTATTGGTATTTTTAAGAGACTGGTTATTTAATAAGCACTGCGAATGTATGCACAGAAGTGGTCTACTGTATTTCCTAAAAAATGCAAAAATATAGTTGCACTGTATTTTCAGTATTGAAATAATTAGGGATGCATGATATATCAATACCATGTTGGTTATTGGTTGGCTTATATTGTACATTTAACTGTACATGCTCATTTCCCATATTATTACATTTAGATTACCTTTGCCATCATCTAACATACACTTAAAGTT